GGTTTTGGGAGTCGCTGAATTCTAATTTGGTTTCAAAATTAAAAATGTCGGATCCAAAATGTCGGACATTATTTTTTTACATTGTGTGGAATCTTATGAAACTTGCACAGGGGGGGGTTTAGTTCACTAAATTTAAAGTTAAGCATAAAATTCAAAAATGCAAAATGGAGGATTGATTATTACAAATTTAATTTTATAGACACCATTTCTTCAGAGGACGAGGAAATGTTTATCAATGAAAATAAAGTTCAACATCATAATGAACTTATTTATCATGCAGATTCTGACGAGATAGAAAATAATGAAATAGAATCAGAATGCGCTGAAGATCGAAATGAAAATTTAAAAATTGAAGACAACAATTCTAACTTTGGTAAAATTCTTAACTTTACATTATTGTTTTTATTTTAATTAAGAATTTCGTACTATTAACATTGCGTTTTATTATTATATAGGAATGGATATAAACGATGTAGCTGAAAATAAGGAGATGAAAGCTGATAAGATAGAGGAGAGATATTTAAACGAAGTAATTTATCAAAATACAGATAAAGAAACTCAAGAAACAGAAGTAAATGAAGAATTTTTTAATGACCAAGATAAAGAATCTTATTATAGTTATGATGACGATGACGAATATCAATCTAGCGATTTAGAAGACTTGTTACAAAATTCAGAAAATGATGAAGAAGAACAATTGAGAGAATGGGCAATTAAAGGTAATATTTCTTGGGTTCTTATATCTCAATTGCTTCTTATTCTACGACGTCGATTAATGCCACAACTTCCGAAGACAGCGTCAACATTTTTAAATCTAAAAACAGACTTTTGTATTAAACCTATGACAACTTCCTTATATAAAAATGCTGAGTTTGTGTATTTTGGAATTGCAAAAGGTCTTGCTTCGTGTTTTAATCCTTCTCTGCATCCAGATGAAATTATCTATTTAGATATTAATATCGATGGAGCACCTCTTTGGAAATCAAGTTCAAATGAATTTTGGCCTATATTGTGTAGAGTTCATTATTTACATGACAATGTTTATCCTCCTTTTCCAGTTGCGATTTATTTAGGTTCTGGAAAACCTCAAGATTTAGATTTGTTTTTAGATGAATTTATAAAAGAATTAAATAATTATCAAAAAAATGGAATCGTGCTGGAAGGTAAGTTGTACAAATTGCGGATGAAAAGTTGGATTTTAGACACTCCTGCAAGAGCGCTTGTAAAATGTGTAAAAGGCCATGCTGGTTATTTTTCTTGTGAGAGATGTGAGGTGATGGGAGAAAGGTGCGAAAACCGTACAATTTTTGCAGATACGAATGCAACAAACAGGACAGATAAAAGTTTCCGTGATCAAAAACAGTCTGAACACCATAAAGGCGTTTCACCGTTATTAAAATTGTCCGGTTTGAATATGATTAAAATGTTTGTTTTAGACTTTATGCACTTAGGTTTTTTAGGCATAATGAAAAAGTTACTTTCTTTGTGGTTAACTAGCACAATTCGAAAATTTAAATTTTCATCATCGCAGAAAGAAATAATAAATTTCATGTTATATGAATTGAGAAATCAAATACCATGTGAGTTTCAACGTAAGACTGATACATTAAATGAAATCTCACTATGGAAAGCTACTCAATTCAGTTTTTTTTTGTTGTACGCCGGTATTGTAATATTAAAAAAAATTTTAACTCCAAAGTACTACAATCACTTTCTGTTACTTTTCACCAGTTGTAGAATTTTGTGTTGCAAAGAATTAGCAGTAAAATATAATGCTGAAGCTAGGTTATATTTGAATAGATTTGTTTCGCTTATGATAAAATTGTATGGAAAATCTACTATTTCGATTAACGTGCATAACCTTCTTCATATCGCAGATGATGTGAAGAACATGAATTGTCATTTAAGTTTAATTAACAGTTATGCATTTGAAAGTTTATTAGGTAAAATGAAAAAAACATTGCGATCTGGCAACAAACCTATTCAACAGCTGTGTAATCGTATGCATGAAATGTTTTTTAGAAGAAAAAAAGTTACCCCTGCTCCACAAATATTATCAATAATAAAAGAGAATCTTTCTGAGATATTAAAAATAAAATATCAACAAGCAGTGCTTACTTCAAAAAGTCCTGACAATATTGTTCTTCTTGAAAACGGTAAATGCTTTGAAATAAAGAAAATTTATAGAGACAGCCAAAATATTGATAACATTTATGTAGAAGGTGTACAATGGATTAAAGAAAAACCATTCTTTACGTATCCAACAAATTCTGAGACATTAGGAATCTGGAAATTACACGATAATCCAAGTAATGTAAAGGATACTATTTCCATTTACAAAATTAAAAAGAAACTTGTTAAGTTAACTGTGAGATCAGCTTCAAATGAACCAAAAACTGTCGTTGTGATACCATTACTTCATTGATAATAATAATTATTAACAATAAAGTAATGGTCCACAATAAGATGTATTATAACCATTGTAAATATTATTGTAAAATTAAAGACAATTTTCTAAATAAAAAGTAAATTTCTAAGTAAATTACTGCGCAGCCTTTGAGTTTTTAATTTTTACTAAACGAAGAAGAAGATTTTCAATAAGTATATTCATAGAAAAAAACTGAACTCAAAATGAGTAGCGTACGCTACTCATTTACGTGCAGCAACAATGATCTGGTTTGACTCAATTTGAGTTTTTATTGAAATTTTTTAAATTGAACCCGGTTACGTTCATTTTGAATTCAAGATTACCCAATCAAAAATTTACTAATGGCGCAGTACTGACAAGTGTTGGCGCAGTACTGGCACCCAGTATTGGCGCCAGAGTTGGCGTAACTTTGGGATGATAACATTTTACCAGTATTGGCTGCCAGAGTTGGCACCAGTACTGGTACCCACTACTGGTTCAGTACTGGCTGAGTACTGGTAGTTTTGTAATTTATTGTATACAAAAAGAAAGCTTTAACTGTAACAGAGATAAGTTTCACTGCAATAGTGAAATCTCTGCTCCAGGCAATATATCTGAAAACAATAAAAAAAACTTGCAAAATGTTTTGGAATTAGTCTCAGGAAACTTTTTGTTTTAATAATTTTACCCACAAAAAAGCAAAATAAAATACCTTTTAATTTTCAAAAATAAAATCAAAGTGAAAAAATTTTTATAAAAAAAATTATTCATCGGGTTCACTCTAGAACTTTTTGTAAACTAGTATTAATCAAAATGAAAATCTATTTTAGTCAGTGCTGGCTCAATATCGGCTCAGTACTGGTTTACCAGTACTGCACCAGTACTGATGCTGAACCAGTACTGCGCCAGTAGTTAACTCTGGTATAATACTGAAATTTTTGGTTGGGTAATGTTAAATTATTGTCGACAAACAATTACTTAAAAAAATATTAAATATAATAATTATTGTAATTATAAATAAGCACTACTACAAATTATTGAAAATCATAAAATATTATTATACACCCTGAAAAATTTTTTCAATAAAGTAAGGATAGAAAATTTTTTTCTTATCTCCAAAGTATTTTGTCTTTTCGAATAGTTTGTCACATCTGGTTTGGCTCAAGTTTACCAGCTATAAAGGTTTCCCATTTAAAAAGGGACTATTTTATGACGTTTTCGGTACCCGTTTTTTTCATAGACGTATGCAAACCCAAAATTTGTGAATTTTTTTTATTTTGAAATAGAAATGTTCGAAACTTGTCGATGTTTTCCGAGGACTTTTTCTTCAAAAAGCCTTTCAATCTTTAGTTGCTGTTCAGCATTTGCCGGACAGATACCAAATCCGCGAGTGACAACTCAAAATCAAAGTTATTTTCTTTGCAAGTTATTTTCTCTGTGAAGTGATCGATTTGAGGATTAATATTGAAAAAATACATAAGAGGTAAATAAAAATTAAAAATATTTAATTAAAAATACTTATACCCACATTGAATAACGGAACCTAGACTACACGAGCTTAAAATTATAAGATACTCTGTAAATCTGAATAAGTGAAATTTCACTTATAATTTTTTAAAAGTCTTTTACGTCGAAAAATAAGTGTATGCGCAATTGAAAATAAGTGAAACTTCACTTATTTTTAAATATACACTTATTTTTATACGTGAAAGATTTTTGAAACATTCTTAGTGAAATTTCACTTATTCTGATTTAGAGAGTATATTTTATTTTTGTTAAAGATTCTTTTTTCAAAGTGCGTCACAATTTTAATTTTTACGTCAAATGATTTTATGTCATATGAAATTTCCCAAGTAGCACGTAATATTACAGTAATATTAAAATGTCTGCCTCATGGTAATATTACTGTAATATTACAGTATTACAACAATATCAACCAGTAATATTACTGTAATATTTCAAAAAATTTCAAATAACACTTAAAAACATTTGACTGATTAATTCTTATCTTTTTTTATTTTATCATAAAAAAATTTTGAAATTTTTATGTATTTCAAATAAACGTGTAATATTACAGTAATATTAACCGGTAATATTACCATGAGGCGGACATTTTAATATTACTGTAATATGTTACTTGGGTTGTGGTTTAATCATCGAGTCATTTAAATTATTGTACAAGATATTTGTAAAAATGGACGGAAAATGGGACAACGATGGTAGTAGGATCTTGCTATACATATAATTTTCATTGAGCCGAATTTTATTCGTTCGAAATATAACTTTGTAGAATTTTCATTAAAATGATTTTCTATAGTACAGAATTTTTATATAATCGAAAATTTATTTCACAGAATTTTTATTTTTTCAAATTTTTATTTATCAGAATTTTTTGATCGATTTTTTATTTAACATAACAGTCATTTTAATGAACTTTTAGTGGGTAGAACTATATTGTATATAATTTTATTTTAGACGCATTTACATTTTTTCCAATTATTATTTGATACAATTTCAATATAATCGATTTTTCATACTACAGAATTTATACTTAACCGAAAAATAAAATTTCCAATATTTCATATGCAGGAAAATGGCAGAAAATAAAGTATTTAAAATAGTAGAGTTCATAGAGTACTCCACAAGTGATAAAAGAAGTGTCGATGTCGTTTATGCAACACACATCAGGTATGACTCTGTTCGAGGTTTATTAGCCAAATTCATGGATGGTCCATCATATACAAAAGAAGATTCTCAATTAATTCGGGAGATAGTAAAAAATAAAGTATCTGCGCCTGAAGACTGGCCGGAGTTTAAAGTCAAAATTATCGTGGAGACAGGTTTGTTTTTTGTTGAAATTAAATTTTTGATATATACACCCAAAAAAAAGTAATCTTAAATTTAGAGGAAAATTCCTCTTCTAAAATCCTCTGAATATTTCCTCTTAAAATACGAATATTCCATTTGACTGTAGAATATTTTTATTCTTTGTTGTAATGGAACAATGACAAAAGGAGTACTTTTGCATTTAAATGTTTAAATTTATTGTTATAGTATATTTGAAAAAAGGAAAAGTAAATACATGATATCGATTACATTTTTTTCCTGTTTGACATTTGCGCTTTTGTTTTTCGAAACTGTCAATTTTCGTATTTTGTCACAATAGTGTTGTGTTATAAATCGAAATTCCAAAATGGAAAAGAGACTCGAAGATTTACTAAATGATTTAAATCTGGGTGGATATATTGAATGGAGGTATAAATACAGAAAATATAACCTCTCGATGAATCTTCATTTCTTACTAATTTTCTTAAATATTTGCAACTGGCTATAGCATTTTTTATTATTATTGTAATTAAATCTAATCTATTGATGCTCAGCAAAAAGCAAGAAATTTTTTTCAGAAATGTTTAATTAAAAACCAATATTTCATTCTTTATTCCAGGAATCTATTATAATTTACCTTTTTTGAATGTAAATAATTAAATCTTATTAAATATTTATTATATTATTCAAATTTAAAAAAATTATTGGTTCTCTTGACATTAATAACACTAGGAATTTTTTTTGTTGAGGTTTTGATATCAACATTTAATTCAATGCGTCAAAACTGTACTTTATTATCAATACATAACCATTATTGTCTAATAATTTATTCAAAACCTGTGTATTACGGTTATTTTCAACTTGTCAAAATATTTTAATATTATTCTTCCTTTATGAGGATTTTTTCGAGAGGAAAATCCTTTTAAATTAAGATTATTACTTTTGATACCAAAATTAAGAGGAAAATATGCATTACATTTAGAGGAATCCTCTAGAATGAAGATTACTTTTTTTAAGGTGTAAAATACTCTCTAAATCTAAATCTGAATTTCTTTATTTTTTTATTTCTTTTATTATATATATATTCTGCTTCAGAAAGTGCACATCTGATTTGTCTTGGTTATTATAGTTTCTCGTTGTTAGGGGCTCCTTTTGTGAATTTTTCACGATTTTTTTAATATACTTTTCCAGGCAGGAAGTTTGTGAAATTTTTTAATAGGAAGATTGAAAACTATCGTTTCACTTTTAAGTTATACAAAAAAAATTGTCTTTTCACTAAAAATGGCTAGTTATAAATCCTTTTTAAATATAATAGAAAATCCTATCGTAAATGCATTTGAAACATATGTTCTGGTTATGGTATGGTTAGCTTGATTGAGGAAAGAAAAATACCCATAGTAGGGATGAAAAGCGAAACCTTTTTTCATAGAAAGAGAGGTGATACATAAGAGCGAGAGAGAACAATGAATTTGAAAAGGGACACGCAGTGAGTTTTGCCTGCGTACTCTCTCTTTCTCACTACGATGTATAGTCACTATTATATTTGAAATTCTCAATCGTTTCGGATTGTAAGTTTTACTAATATCATTAATTCCTTGAAATTTTTTTTACATATATCTTTTACTTTAATTTAATGTAATAATAATATAATAATAATAAATAATACATAATAAATAATAAACAATAAATAATAAGCAATAAATAATAAATATTAAACAATAAATAATAAACAATTAACAATAAATAGTAATATAATTTAAAAATTTTATTTGAAGAGATATTAAATTTTAGAATATTCCATTTTTAAAATATCTTCTGCTGCTTATGTTTGGTACTTATATTGCGTCATTTCACTCACACCAGATCAGATTTCCAAACAAAATTGCATATGTGCCTAAAATGCTTCTCGAAGGAAAAGGTTCTTTTCTTTATATACGCTTTGTTGCCAAGTGAAAGATGATGTCATTTCAAATCAGTTTGTGTTCGACTTTTGTCGTGAGTAAACTTCGTGAGAGGTTTTTTTTACAATCATGCAGTGTTTTCTAATAGAGATTTTTCTCAACCCAATTTAAATTAATCCGAATTTTTACTCAGAATAGGGCATTGTTGTCTATGGTGCTAGTGTTCGTTATCCATGTCCATGACAATTGTGAAAATAAACTATCAATGACAAAAGTTTTGAATTTTTTATGGCAAAATCTTTTTGCCAATGATGAAAGTAATCTTATGGCCCAATAATGTCGCAACGACGGATGATGTGTTCAATCTTTAATCAATCTTTCTGTATAAATTATCTTCGCCAATAATTAAACATATTTCGGCTTAATAATGGGTCATCATTTGTGGAAGTGTTTTGCCAATAATATTATTATTTATTATTATTATTTATTATTATTATTATTTGCATTATTTATTTATATTATTATTTATTTATTCTAATAAATAACATTCAGATAGAATGTTGTAGGAATGTCTTCTTCTTTGTTTTTATTTCGAATTAAATACATTTTTTAAATTATTTTGCATTACATTAAATTATTATTAAATGTATTCCTTTTTAGACTTTCGTAGATTATTTATTTATTAAATAAAATAAAATTCAATTGCATTTTTATGTAGCATAATTCTAATCTAGAATAACTTTTATCCACTATATATTTAACGTTACAATTTAATTATCATCGAATATTTAAATGTCATAATTGTTATTCAATTAATTATTATCAGATAATTCAGATTTAGAGAGAACATGAGTATGGTTCTTAAATTTAAAAATTTTTCAGTAGACAATAGATATATTTCAATTTTTAGAGTAATATTAATTTTTAATTAAACATTGATTTAATTAATTTATTATTAATAATATTAATAATTATTATTCAATGACAAAAATAATATCCCAAGAAGCTCAGGTCCAAAACCGTGTATTTCTATGTAAAAATTGAATGTTTGAAAAATGTTTAAAAATGTTCACATAGAATGGATGTATTTTTTTAGAAACTTATGAAGAAGCTTTAATGAAGCTTCAAGATTTGGATAAAAAAAATTACTGTTGTACAACTGATTCAGAAGAGGTTTTAACGCCTGTCAAAAAAGTTAGCAAAAATTTTAATGAAGAAACGCATACTGATGAAGAAGAAGATATTGATCAATTGTTTGACGTTCCAGGATTAAATGAAGATCTCATTAAAAACCCTTCTGGTATGTTTTTTGGTTATAAATTTTTATTATAAATTATGTATTTACACATTACAATATTTTACATTGTAAGGTTAATGTAAAATATCGTATCATATCATTTAATTTTTTTCTTTTTTCCTTAGACTTAAATGCATCCACTGAAGTAGGTGAAACATCTGCATGCATTAGCATTATTAATGAAAAACAAGATGGTTCCAAAAAGAGGAAACAAAATTTTAATGAGTCATCTTCAGTGGCAAATAAGAAATTTAAAGATTCTAGTAAGTTTATCGTTTTTCAATTCGATCTATTTACAACTGAAAACGAAAAGAACAACCTGTTTCTTTTTTCCTTTCATATTTATCGTTTTCTGCATGTAGATAATTTTTATTTGAATTTTGAAACAAATACCATTCCTCACACTCAGAAAAAAGATATGTTTGAACCATTTTTTTACCATTTTTTTATATTTACCCAATTTTTTGGTTAGTTCAATCAAAATTTGTTTAATTCAAATAAATATTTATTTGATCTAAATAACTGTTTCGTTTATTTTAATAACTTTTTTGAACAAAGAAAAAATTTGATTGAGCTAAATAAACGTTTGGTTTATGCAACCAAATGTTTGGTTAACTGTATATCAATGCATTTATTTTGTTGATTTAACCAAAATTTGGTTGCTTCAAACGAATTTTTTTCTGAGTGCATAACACCGGATATCCCAGAATATCCTAAAAATATCCTTGGATTTCCTGAGAATATTCGAAGTGCGGTGGTTTAGATAACCTCTGGGTATCCTATAGATATCTAAGAATGTATAATAGTATAATAATATTTTACTATTTATCGGATTTTTATTTAAGCATTGTTTAAATATAATGTTGATATTAATTTAATATGTCGTCTGGTTTTCTAAAATCTTTTAACATATCTACTAAGTCATATGGATGTCCTTTGGATATCTTAGAGATATCTGAAATATATCCTTTATACAGGGACTTTGGATATCCTGGATATCGTGGAGACGATTTCAGGATATTCTTTTGTTGTGAGGGATTATTTGAATCAAATGAATTATTTAGTGTACATATTTTATATTTATAAGCGTTCTCAATATACTTATTTTTTATAGATAATATTAATGAGAAAATGAATATAATTTTCGATAAGATACAGAAGATAGGAGAAGATGTCGAATATATGAAAGGGGAATTAAAAGAATTAAAAAAGAAGAACGTTCAATATGCTCTGTGCCAGGAAACCATGTCGGAGAATTTAGCTTCTAAATTCGAAGTTAACCTTCCACTGCAAACTATGGAAGAATTTGAAAAATTAGAGGGACTTTTACCTACTAATAAAGAACTGCAGCACTCTTTGGTAAGTAAAATAGAAAATTTAATATTATGAATAATGAAAAGTTTAAAATTATTATTGTAACTAATAATACATTATTAATTATTACAGAAATCGGCCCTGTTATACAACGTAGATTTAAGAGCAGATTTAAAAAAAATTCTTCGCCAAATTTTGTCTTCTTTATTCAGCCGTGAGGTGGCAATGAAATTCACAGCATCGAAACCAATGCCGGAAAAGAAAATATTAAATAAGACAAATTGCTGCAACCTTATTGAGGGTAATTTTTTGTTATAAGTATAGAATTCATTAACAGTTTTAATAACAAATTGATAATATAAAAATACTTATTGTATAGCAATATTTAAGATGTTATTGAAATATACCATTATTTTATTAAGTTTTTAATTTTCAGGTCTAATACCATTCAAATCTATGGCAACTAAAGAAAAGTATTCCAAACCAGAAATAATTGGTGCAATGGGATACGTTCTTACACGCTCTTACGATTGGGGTAATGGCAGGACTGAAAGAAGAAAAAAAAAAGACAATAATGATATTAATGTTTAAGTACATTTAAGTTTTTCTTATTAATATTTTTTATTACTTTTATTAAATATATGTACCTAAATAGAGTTAAAATAAATCGATTATTATTTTAAGAAAAATTAAAAGAACGACTAATTAATTTTTAATTAATTAATTTTATTCCTATTTAGCTTCTATATTATTTGGCTTGTCCAGAGATTATATACAAACCCCATGTAGATCCTGTATCCTTTGACCTACATAGAGCGAACACAAAAATCCTTTATACATCCTATGTTATTTGTCCTAGGTAGAGATAACTTAAAACCCTACATAGATCTTATAACATGTGACCTACATAGAATGCACTCAAAATTTCTATATAGATCCTATACTATTAGGCCTACTTAGAGCTTACATACAAAGCCTACATAGATTCTAAAACATTTGGCCTATGTAAATCATACATATAAATCTTATATAGATTCTACATATTGTAGCCTACTTAGAGATTACCTACAAAGCCTAAGTAGATCCTACAACATTTGGCCTATGTAAATCATACATATAAATCTTATATAGATTCTACATATTGTAGCCTACTTAGAGATTACCTACAAAGCCTAAGTAGATCCTACAACATTTGGCCTATGTAAATCATACATATAAATCTTACATAGATTCTACATATTGTAGCCTACGTAGTGCATATATACATCTTCTACGGGGGCCCTACATCCCTTTACTTACATAGAGTAGATGTAGCTGAGCGTTACATTCTTATGTATATTCTACATAGTTTGTCCGATGTACAATCTACTGTACAATTCCTACGTAGGTCCTACTACATTCTTTCTATGTAGAATGTACGTAGCCATGCGTTACATTTCTATGTAGACAGTATGTGCGATTTGTCTCGCAGGCCTATGTAGCCAGGTAGGCCAACCGACATAGATTCTACATTGTGCCGACTTTAATTTTTATTCGGGAAGTTAAAGGTGTTCATCAAAACAAATATATATATTAAAAAACTGTCAGGCGAATATTATATATCTGATCGATAAAATGTTATCGAAACTTTTGTATAGTGATAAGTTCGTCATTGTCGCTTTAGGACAAATAGATGAGCTTTGCATGTTTGAGAATGGCTGAGTTTGAGATGGTTGTGTGTACACTAGACAGGCGTTGATGTTACCTGAATATACGCTTCGTTATAGTCATAGTACGCAGTGCGTGTTGCAGAAGCAACAGCTGAGCAGCTTTAAGCACCTGCCCTCGATAGTTCAACATAACAGCTTTTCTATATATATATATATATATAAACACGAGCCAAAAAACCAATAGACTTTATTCAATCTCCATCGAAAATTTCCTAAGCATTTTCTTATATAAATTATTATTATATATTTATTTTTCCGCACTTAAATATCGAAAATTTCTGTTCTAGAACATGAAACATTAAAAATTGGCGCCTCGTAGGTGGCGCCACGTAGTTATTTTCAAGTGCACAACAAAATTGTGCCTCGTAGTTGGCGCCACTATCGCCCATTTTGAACTGCAAAAAATGAGTTCAGGGTTTTTTTTTGTGTATATGATTCCTATATATAGAAAAAATGGCAATAATATTTCGAACCTACTTTTCCACCCTACTTTTTTTTATATATATATATATATTTACTATCGGTGGATCAAACAATTTTGAAAAACTGTATTTTTTTATTGTTCCTCAATAATTTATTATTCGTCAAATTTTCCCCTGTTTTCTTGATATATATTGAAAATAATAGAAAAATATTATATGTTATCAAGAAAAAAAGAAAAAAAAAAAGAGGCGCAAAAGGGAAAAATATATAAAGGACAATCAGATTAAGGTTGGTATTATATCGATAAGTTATCTCGAGTCCAATTATACTATATAGCGAATCGAGAACCGTGTGGTGCGACATATGGTGCGATTCCGAGGACTCGAGGAGCGATAAGGTCGAAAACACTTTACCTGAGGGAAGCTTCGAGGGGGGGCCATCACGCAGTTCCCTCACACATATACATACGCACCTTTATCTTTTACTTATTGTGGCCAAATGTGCTCCCATGCGTGATACCAGGAAAAAGGTGCCCTTTCGGAAATGGCTTTAGGAACTTCTCTCTCTCTCTCTCTCTCTCTCTCTCTCTCTCTCTCTCTCGCTTTTGGACTCGAGTCGGAAGTAAGCGGAAAGCTAATTACACGCGAGAAACGACACGTTCATGACGATGAGCACTTAGAACGAGCATTGTCATCAACCGGACGATATAGATGAACACACATTTACAAACATATCGGACGCGGTATACTGCTAGACAAGCCAAGTTTACATATATATATAGCTCGAGTAGAACTTTTCATGGGCGGAGGCTGCTTTGTCTTCCGGTTCCGGCTGACCTGCTCGAAAACTTTTTTATTTCAAAAAAAAAAAATTGCATCCATCTCCCTTACAAGGAATTCCAAGAGTCGATTTTTTTTTTCATAATTAGTGAATTTAATTTACATATATATATATATATATATATATATATTTATATATACATATATATATATATATCTTAAAATTGAAATTAACGATTCAATTTATAAACAGAAAATTTATTATATACTCTATAATAAGTATAATTTCTAAAAGTTTTAAAAATCAATTGTTAGAATTTTCATTAGATATACACTGAAAAAATAATAAATAATCGCGACAGAAAGATTTAGGCACGATTTTTAAAAATTATCCATAAAATTGTGATTAGTTTTAAAAATTGCGCCTATAAATCTTTTTGTGTCGATTGTTTGTTTGGCCATTTGCAAATTGCGGACAAATGAAAATTCTATCATTTAGAAATTCTGTTAAGGTTATGTTAGACGACCTTGAATTTTTCCATTGCACTTCCATATGTAAAAAAAATTCGTGGATATGCAACATAACCTTAAATGATTTTTCGGTTAAGTATAAATTTTGTACTATGAAAAATCGATATAGTATGGAAATTCTATCAAATAATTTGAATTATTATTATTATTAATATTATTATTATTATTATTATTATTATTATTATTATTATTATTATTGTTATTGTTATTGTTATTGTTTTTGTTGTTATTATTATTATTATTATTATTATTATTATTATTATTATTATTATTATTATTATTTTTATTATTGTTATTATCGATATGAAAATCGAAATATAGTACAAAAAAAATATCGAATAGTCTTTAAATAAAAGTGACTCGATTTCGTTGCAATATAATATATTAAAGTCGCACCCAACTTACGCAAACAATACAATTTCCGGTACGTCATGTGATGTTTAATGTTTTTTAGACGCAGGTGATTCGATTTTAAAGGGTGATTACAAAGAAAAAAAAAAAAAAAAAAAAATTGTATAAAGAAAATTTTTGTATGTAAAAGTTTCATATACTCTTGATTATTTATGCTTTCAATAATAATTACATTTTAAGACAATTAAAAGTTTGAAGGTACATAGCAAGGAGATTTTTTTTTTTTTTTTTTTTTTTCTTTTTTAAATAATACGAAAGTATCTCTGCAGAGAACTCGAGCCAACTTCCAATGCCAGCCAGACGATGAGATTATGCTATGCCATTGTTATAAGCGAAACGATTGGTTCTTCAAGTGGGCCGATCATAACGAAAATATATATGTATATATATATATGTATACCAAGTTTGATAATTAACGAAGAGTTAATTACACACCCGAACTATCATACAGGACTCTCTCTCTCTTTCTCTTATAATTTTTCTTTTTAAACCATTCTTCAAAAAGGCCACTTCACTTGTAATCACCTTTAATTTTCATTTAGAATAATTTTATATTTCAAATTTTCACTTCAAAAATCACAAACATAACCTAAAATTTTTTTTAATCATAAGGTAACTAACTGTTTTCATAGTAACTGTTGCCATAGTAACTTTTGCCATAGTAACTGTTACCAAAGTAACTGTTACCAAAGTAACTGTTTCCATAGTAACTGTTGCCAAAGTAACTGTTGCCATAGTAACTATTGCCATAGTAACTAAATGTTTCCATAGTAAGTTTTGCCACAGTAACTATTGCCATAGTAACTGTTGCCAAAGTAACTGTTTCCATAGTAACTATTGCCATAGTAACTGTTGCCATAGTAACTTTTGCCACAGTAACTTTTATCATAGTAACTGTTGCCGTAGTAACTATTGCCATAGTAACTGTAGCCATAGTAAGTTTTGCCACAGTATCTTTTGCCATAGTAACTGTTGCCATAGTAACTATTGCCATAGTAACTTTTGCCACAGTAACTTTTATCATAGTAACTAAATGTTTCCATAGTAAGTTTTGCCACAGTAACTTTTGCCATAGTAACATATACCATAGTAACTAACTGTTTCCATAGTAACTTTTGCCATAGTAACTAACTGTATCCATAGTAACTGTTGCCATAGTAACTTTTGCCATAGTAACTTTTGCCACAGTAACTTTTGCCATAGTAACTATTGCCATAGTAACTTTTGCCACAGTAACTTTTATCATAGTAACTAAATGTTTCCATAGTAAGTTTTGCCACAGTATCTTTTGCCATAGTAACTGTTTCCATAGTAACTGTTGCCAAAGTAACTGTTGCCATAGTAACTTTTGCCATAGTAACTTTTGCCATAGTAACTTTTGCCACAGTAACTTTTGCCACAGTAACTGTTGCCATAGTAACTAACTGTTACCATAGTAACTGATGCCATAATAACTTTTGCCATAGTAACTAACTTTTGCCAAAGTAGCTGTTGCCATAGTAACTGTTGCCATAGTAACTGTTGCCATAGTAACTAACTGTTTCCATAGTAAGTTTTGCTATAGTAACTGTTGACATGGCAACGGATGCTACGGTAACTGCGTTACCATGGCAACCATACGAGTGTACGACGGACGGACGGACGGACACCAAAGGGAAACTATAAGGCTTTCGGTCGTGGGCCACTAAACCCTAAAAATGGAAGTTGTCATGGAATTGGAAATTGGTAAATTGGAATTTAAATAGAAATGATAGAGTGCGAATTAGAAAAATTGAAAGTAGAAATAAAAGTCAGAATAGAAATTGGAAAAATT